CTACCAAGAAGTTAATTATTATGTTTTTGGCTTACTCACGTAATAATTTGACGAGATACTCGACTAGTTTCAAGCCATGCTAGAGGCCCATATTCCATTACGTGAGTAAGCCGAAATCATAATAATTAATTTAGAATGTCTCACGAAAGTTATAATAAAAAGACTACCAAGAAGATCCATATAACAACAACAAAAACAGAATGAAACATTAATAGGTATATTGTTTGGTTAAACGTAAATTTATTTCATATGCTGCTAAATACTTCTATTAATGATTTAGTATTGATTTAGATTAGGCAATGGAGTTGCATTTCATTATTCATTTATTTCAACATTGGTCTAATTCTTCATTGTCTTCCGAACATCTTCGAGTGTTACATTATTTTGTGGACCAAAGAAAAATAGAACTACCGTTTACAATAAATTATGGTGCTTGCCTTGTGGGTTTTGTCTTATTATTCTGTTTAGCTTGTTCTATAAGAATATCTCTATATTCATTCAAAGTTTTCTTCATCGATTTGTATATGACCCCATCAAATTCCTTATTTTCTGTCTTCTTTTCTGCCATGCCTTTTTTGACTTTGGTGCCACCCTCGGATCGTCCAGACTGCCGTCGAACATCCGCGTACCAACGGAAATCGCCCAGAAAAGGACTACACGGCGAAAAGCTAGTGGCAGGATTCTCCTGAATTTTCGTCAAGGGTAAGGAGTCTAGCGTAGTATTACAGATTTTTTTGCAAGATTGGTGGTGCATCGAAACTTCTGGTTTAAATTGGACTGGAATGATGGACTCTTTCAGAATATTTGCTGTCCTACTGATTATTTTTCCAGTATTTGGCTTACAAATGCGAGTTATCCTGGTCATCCCTGTATTAATGTTCATAGCTGTGCTGTTTTGTAAAAAATTTTTGACGTCGCCCGACTTGTTGCTTTCACAGGACCTCCAGAGTAGAGGCAGTGGATTTTTTTTTATTTGAAGAACATAGATGGACCAGTTATGTAAATTTACATTTTTTGCACTTAATTTAAATCACAAATAAACATTTTGGTGTTTTCTAGTTTGACAATGAAAATCAGTCATAACGTGCACAAGATGACAGAATTTGGCTACAAAGTTTATAGCTGTAACCTTAAACCTCCTTGGATTCTAGTCATAATTGCACAAGAGTACCGACACTTTTCTGAAAATAGTGCAGATCGTTTTTTTATGTGATAAGTTGCCAAACGAGCAGACTGATTAACTGATGGTAAGCAATCAGCGCCGCCCATGGACACTCACAACAAATGAGGACTTACGCGTGCGTTGCCGACCTTTTAGGAATTAGGGATTTAGGGATTGGGGAGAGGAAGGATTGGGCCTCCGGTAACCTCACTCACACAGCGAAACACGACGCTGTGGTTATTTCACGCCGGTTTACTGTAAGGCCGTGGTATCACTCCGGTCAAGCCGACCCATTCGTGCCGAAGCATGACTCTCCTACACTTTAAAAACCTGTTGTCATCTTATAGTACTTATAGATTTTCGGCGCTTTTTAATAACAGCTTGTCTGTTAACATAAAATTTTTAGAGTAAAGCAATATTTTTGTGCTAACAAGAAAACTATACACAACAATATTTTTAACGTATCTAGAGAGTAATTTATCACAGAGTACATTATATGAGCTATACTTGTGATAGCAATCCCTACTAACAAAATGTATGTGTATTTTGTTTAAGAACGTTGTAAATAGGTTAGAACAAAGTTTAAGGCTTGAAAACCATTTATAAATGATATTGAGGTATGGAGCTGGGCAAGTATACTGTGTCTTACCTACCTATAGTAAAAAAAAACAAAAACATCATTAATCATTTTAATTCAGTGATTAAAAAAAAAATAAGTTGACAATACAATTTACCAATTACTGTTGACTGTGACTGAAGTGTATGGTCAAATTTTCATTAAAAATTGTAATATCGTAACATCTGGTATTCAAACGATAAAGCTCTAAGTCCTTTGTTATGTTCGCCAAAAGAAGAATTATCAAGAAGATATCATATTATAAGAAACCAAATTCTTGAATATGTTTATTTCCCTTCGTTTGTCTTGACAAAGCCTTTTGTATTTACTCTCTGCCTTCAGGACGGAGTGTGGGTTTATCTTTCTTCTTTTTGTATTCTTCTATCTGCTTCCTCACTTTTTGTGTCAGAAGTCCTTCATCACTTATCGGTTCCGGGTGAACAAAACCAGGCATTTGTATAGCTTGCTTTTCTTCTCGGCCTTGATCTCTTTGTGGAATGTCCTTATCATCTGCGAAATCTCTTTTAGGTACTTTGTAAGACACCAAATTTCCCTTCACAACGCTTAAGCATTCTGGATGACCCAAATTTGAGCCCCTTGAAGGCATTTTTGGATGAATCTGTGTAAAGAACCTCATCATTTTGATAATGGTCTGGGACTTAGATTCAGATCATGTTTAAAAGACCATTGGAACCTTGGGAAATCATTGTTAAACTAAATTTATTAATTTATTTAAAAAATTAATTTACATTTTGGCAGTTTAAAGTTGACAGATGACATAAGGACATACCATAGAGTACATTAATCTATAAGGTTAGTAGCACAGACGATTAAGGTAGCCATTGACGTTGCGTTCATCAATCCAAATTTAATTTACTTTTAACGGAGTTTGGAAGTTGTTCAAATTGTCCGTGAGTGGGCAAAACCGAGTGTTTTTTTATACGATTGAGAGTGATTCACGCTACACCTTGCCGTGTTCAGATCATGCATTGCGATGAAATATCAGTAAAAAATTATATGCAATGAAACAACTTTCTCGTGCCTTGGCCGTACTCCGGTCATACTTTATTATTACAATTATTCTTTACTAGCTTTTGCCCACGACTCCGTTCGCATGTTACAAACTATGTCTGTATCAAATTTCATAGAAATCGGTTCAGTAGTTTAGGCGTGAAGAAACGACAGATAGACAAACAGAGTTACTTTCGCATTTATAATATTAGTATAGATTAAGTTACACCAAAGACTACAATAAGTGTAGGGTAGTCACATAGTGGAATGTAAAAGCCAGAACGATTTTATCATCACCATCAGCCTTAATCCATCTCCTGCTGGACATGGGCATCCCCAATTCTGGCAGTTTGAGAACATATCCCAATATCCTGGAGTTACGCGAAATCCTAAGGCAGAACTGATTTATTTCCAATTATTTCTACGTCTACGCGTGACTTTATATATTCTTAAGTTAGAAGTAATTGAAAACTATAAATTGTGCCTTTGTCTATACAAGTGAAACACCCTGATTATCACGACAGGTTAAATAATTACATTCTGTCACTTTCTTGAAATACTTACTAAAAAATCCTATAGAATTACCTGTATTATTACAACTCAATTAATTTACTTAATTAATTTACTTAATTAACTTAAATGATTTAGCCTTGCTCTTCGTTTATTAAATATTATAAGGACTAGGCAATGAAGATAAGTCCAGGACAACAAATTTCTAGACTGAAATATTCGAAAGTATTTCCAATTTGAATTTTATTATGAGTAAACCAATTTACACTGCAATCCTTTTTATCAAGATTTGCTCTATGAGGGACAGGGTTCTCCATCAGGGTTCTTGGCACTAGTACAACTAAAATACTAGTGCCCTGTGTGTATTGACTACGTTAAAACGCTTGTGCATTGGCCCTCTGCTTGGTTCTGAACCTGTCCATAAGCATAAAACAAATACGCTCTCTGGTCACAATTCACGAGGTGGTTATCTAGAAAATATGAAATCTTCATCTTCATCTGAAACCCGTGCAGCGTTAGTGTGAGTTTCACACTCAGAAGTGCAAAGAAATCCATCACAGCAGACACAAAAGTCACTGGTTTGCGGACGGGAAGCAAAGGTATCTCGTCACCCGACCAGAACTAGTCCCGAGCGTACGGCGCCTAGTGCGCGCCTTAGGCTAAGAACTCACGGAGCGATTTTGAACCGTGCCCGCCGCGGTAGCGGAACTGCGGTTTTATTTCCAAACTCACGAGACCGGTTATTTGCGCGGTTACACAGCCGCCGCGGTTGCGATCATCGCCCGCAAACGTGGCGGGCGATGATCGCAAGATTGCAAGACGGGCGGTTAATGATCAGTTGAGGTCCAGACCGCCATGGACACACACCAGAGCCGGAGCCGTTGCGTTATATTTACTTCACAGAAGACCCGCCGGCCCCCGCGGTCGCCCGCCAACCGATCGCAAAGCGAGCGGGTGCCACCCGCCGTGGCTGCGGGTAACCGCGGCCCGCGCGATTCTACTAGTTGCCCGCCGGTACAGCGGGAGCCGCATACAACCGCGTACACCGCGGGCGTAAAACGCGTCGTGAAATGTGCTTTAATTTTTTATATAAATATTTGAATTCTACAGAAGCTGCGGGCCCGCAATCGCAGCGGACGCGGGCGAAAATCGCTCCGTGAGTTCTTAGCCTTAGAGCCAATAGGCCACCACAGACGAGGCCCAACATCGCCAATGTTCAGCTGGGGTTGCGGAACGTGCGCAATAAGGTACCGCATTCTCGGCCTAGATCAGGAGAAGGAACGGAGGGGAGGGGTTTAGTCAGTAAGAGTCTAACCGATCCATCTGGCCTTAGGTGGGACTAGAGAAGTCATTTGGTGAGTTTTTCCTCATGAAAAAAAGTAGCCACAATAATAGACAAAATCTTCTGTTTGCAAACATTAGAATACTAGAGTCCAATCTGCTGTCGCTTGGTGACCGACAGCAAAACAATACGTCGCAGACTCCATTTTCGCACTTGAATAAAATATAATTAAAGATAAGAATGGTAGCAATAACAAAATAATTTAATAAAAATAATTACTATATGTTATCCATAATTTGTTAACGTTACATTAAAAAAAACCGGAAATATGAACAGCTAATAAGAATATAAAAAATTAATATAATAAAATAAAAAATGATTTCCTTTAGTACAGCCAACCGCAGTACAAATTAAAGTCTTCACGTGGGTTTAGGCGGTTTCTCAACAAAGCCTATGCCTTCTCCTCGTTTCAGTTTCTCCTTCAGCTTTTCAATTTGTTCTCTCTGTTGTTGGTGGAAGTAGCCTTCTTCCTGAGCTGCTCCATACTTGCCTAGTCCACCGCCGGATTCCCTGACTGCACCTCCAGCACCACCACCCTTGCCTGCTCCTGAACCAGGGATCCCAGCAGGCACCGTGAAGTCGGCACTATCACCAGAGTAATGTTTAACGTTACTGCAAGCATAATATCTATAGCTGATATTTCTTAGTAGCAGTGTGAACTGCTTCCTCGACGGACTATTGACATTAATCAGCATCTTTGACTGCCTTCTCACTTTATCTTTTTGAAGAACAGTCTCCACTCACTTTCTGTTTCTTTCTTTCTCTGTTCCACCGTCTTCTCTATTTTAAGGCTGTCAATCACTGCATTAATTCGTTGATCGTATTTTTACTGGCTTAACAGGATAATTTTGTTTTTGTTTAGACGTTTACTTTTGACATTTTTGTTTTCAAACCTATTTGGTATTTAGTATTAATGCCAGTTGTTTTAGCAAGAAGGTTTTGTAGCTCTTTTTGGGGGTGTAGGGCGATGTTTTGCGTAGGCGTGGCAGCAGAGAGCAGCAGAGCATAAAATGCATGCGTAATAATTTTTATTTGACTTTTATCTTTATACTGTAGAAATAAATAGTCTTTGTGTGTAATAGATTTCACTAAAGCTAGAAAGACAATCGAAATAAGCTTATTAAAAAAAAGGTAACTGTAAATGTTTTAATTACCTCTAAAAATGTCTAAAATTTACACTGTAACACATTAAGATTGCGATAAGCTGAATTTGTTGCACTAAATTACACCTATGTTCCAAATTAACACTAATTTAAGACTAATTATTTTCTCTTCTATATAAGAGTTATACTTGAATAGTTCCGCTTATTATTAGCAATTAGTGCATCAGAGAAAATGTGGCTGCTCTTGTAACAGTATTGAAATCAATCTTCTCAATGGATTTATTAAAGGTAGTAAAATTATTCTTTATCTCTATACTTTATTGTCAGTTAATCTCTCCTGCCTAGGATATGAGACCCGGCTAAGGGGCAAAAATTTTAAACTGAACCTTTTAAACAGCGACATTTTTAATCCACTAGTCGTAGCACTCAGTAAATTCGCTGTCTCGACTGCGGACGATGAGTAAGGGTAGCTCGCCAGCGGTCCAGAACCAGACCTAGACCCAAACGTACCGTGCATTGCTTTTCATGCACCTCAAAGAGCCAATAGACCACCACAGACGGGGCCCTATAGGGCTGAAGTTTAGCCGGGGGCCGGGGCAAGCGCAATAAGTCACCGCGGTTTCGGCCTAGAGCAGGAGAAGGAACGGGAGGGTTTTTAGTCAGTGAGAACCTGGCACTCCCATCCACCCCACCCTGGGCGGGACCGACTTCAATGCTTGAGTGATAACAAAGTTTTATTAGCACGAGGCTTCAGAATGCTAACGTTACTTCTTTCATTTCAGATCTCATTCCTTCTTGTTTGTGCCGGTAATGTGTTTTCAAGGTAAATATTTATAAATCTTTTTTCCTTTGAATATTTTAATATGGATATTAAATCGTACGTCTATAACTACCATCGTTGGTCCTATGCTCATCCTCATAAAGACCATAGAATCCACATCATTTTAAGACAATTTTATTTTCAGCCCGAGCAAAATTTCGAAACCGTGGCAATACAACACAAGGAAGGTTAACTCATCACCAGATGACACTCAACACTGTTTCTGCTACCCTGGCGATGACCTCCCAGTCATCCACAAGCTACTGGACCCCAAAAACAAAGGCCAAGAACGACTAGTAATATATCTCTACAGAAGTATAGATTCCAACGAAATCAAAATGTTCACTCCAAATTTAGATAAACAGATGCTTATACCTGATATACCGTACGATTCCAATGATGTCCTAGTTACAGTGACAAATGAAAACATTGATACGCTATTTTACAACAATCCCAACAAAATAAAAGTGCACAATGATTATTTAGAGACTGTAAATCCAACTGTAGTAAGCTCCTTACCTATTGGACTTAATCAAGGAGAGATAGAACATATATTCCCTGGTTATACTGACGACATAAGCTTAAATGACAAAGAAAGTAGCAATGAATATGATAACGATGATTACGTCGTACCTCCGTATAAAAGTTCTGATAATGCTAATTTGGCTCAAGTAGAAGCCCAAACTGTGCCTTTAAAGAGTTTCCCTGAAAATGATTTTGAGGCAAATCAAAACTGGGCCCTCCCAAATAAAAATTTGGATGGTTTTGAAGAAACTTTACAAGGTGTATTACCGTCATCTTCAGCTTTCCTGCTACCGCCTGAAGATAATATTCAACAGAAATTAGTGTATTCCTTCCAATATAATGACAATACTGCAACATCTCAAGATCATCTCAGTTTTGACGCATGGTTCAAGCAACAGATGAAGAGATTCCAAAATCCTCATTTTCCAAGTGATCTTAAGAGTATAGATAGTGACTTGCTTAAGGTGCTAGTCATCAAGATCTTTTCCAAAAATAAAATAAACATCAGTTCTAACGGTGTAATAACTGGACCAAATGGAGAAACAATTGACACGGCAAATCTGGAACTACGCCCGCTGCTGCTAGGCGAAAAGATCAGCCTTCAAATCTTTAATACCAACCATAAAAAGATTAATCTTTTAAAACGTCTGCCTTTTATGGAAGGCATACTTGTGACACTGGTGTCGCCTCCACAAATATTAGGCATAATACCACTTGGTAAGATTTATTTGACAAAAAACTCGAATTATATAGACCAGATAATTAACCAATTAAGTGCTCTGAATAGTTCAAAGGTTTACACAAGTAAACATACTGATGCAACTTTTTATTTGAATCCATCACAATCAACTTTTAATAACATTCTGTCCGAACCAGAAAATATCAGAATAGAATCGATATCTTCTTTTACAAGTGATCAGGATGGTGGTCGTAAAGGAAAGTGGGAAACAGATAATAAAGCTCAAGCTATTCCACTCCCAGATGAAAGAACGCAATGGAATACTGGACTATATTATTCCGCTCCAAATGTACCATACCCCAACTGGCATCCTTTGGTTGAAATCCAACCTTCAGGGAAAAGGAGGAAGTTCAATGCAAAGATTGAGCATATATTTGAACCACCAACTAAAACAAGAAAGAACGCAGTCGATGGCACACAAACGGCCATGAAAGAAGCAAATACAAAAGCAACTAGTACAATTAAACCGCCGGTCAATTCATCTGAACCTAAGAAAAAATTGTCAGAACCCCTTCTTAAAGGGATGTTGAAAACTTTAATGGACCTTCTAAATGATACGCCACGAAGGGGTCAACCAAAATCTAATACCACGCATAATTTTGATATAATAAGTGATTCTGAGTTGACGAAATATGAGGAGGATGGTCCAGATTTTAGAATTATTGGTGGCAGTGCTGCTACCGGCAGTGGAACTCCTGTCAGTAGTAAGGGCAGGAGTGGTATAAGAGAAGAGTTTTCATCATAAAATCTTATATTTTTATATGCAAAAAGCATAAAGTTATTAAAATTTCCATCAATTTTATATGGTAAGATAAGTTATTTTAAGTGAATCTTTAAAGATAAATGAAACGGCTCGTTAATGGAATTTCGATTATTAATTAGTTATTAAATAATTTGGGTTTGGGTGGCATCATTATTATGTCTTTTATTTGAAAGTTAAACACATAAAATTATAATAAAAACATAACATCTTAGAATAATTAGTAACATAAGCTAAACTTTTTCACTTGCGACATCTGTCAATATTACTTGAAATTCGATTTAGTTGACATACCTCAGATTACTATACGTTCAAAATAGTTAACTATATATCAAAAAGATGTCGCTTTACTACACCTGTTTAACACTGCCATCTATCCTATTTCCTTCAAACTGATTAAAGTGCTATGAAACCCTATCGTGTCACTATTACCCAACAGATGGCGCTGTTGTCATTATTTTGTGTTCTTGACACTAGGTGGCAGTAATTTTCCGAAGAATTTTTAAATAAGTTTTTTGTGGCATTAGGTACACGTAAAACAATAAAGTAAGCTAATGAAATCTTAATAAAATACCTACACTCAATATTAGGATGCATAAATATGGCGGTTATGATTTGTTTACACTCCCCGCATACACAACTCGTCGGTCAAGTTAGCATTCAAGTCAAGTTACTCCCGCGGCTCCGCCAGTAACCGCTAGTCAGTCAAAGAACACGAGTGCCATTGGGTGCGCTCTAAAAATATCGCGGACTTCGGCATGTTAATAAAACGAACAAAATAACTTGACTTGTCAATGACAATAAGTATGAAAGAAGATTTTAAAGTGATTATAAGTTTTTGATTTACATTTTCGTCGTCAGTTTGTAAGAGAAGTTTTAATTTGAAGTAAACTCGATAATATCGTAGTGAATTCGCGGTAATTTCGCCGCGTCTTATTGTTTGTGAATGGAATCAATGTTGTACCTTTAAAAGGATGTTATCATTACGGCACATAGTACTAGGAAACTGTATTTTCTAAATTTCATGGGATTTACAAGCTGGTAAGTTTTGTTTGTTTATCTCTTTATTTTTGTTGTGTTTTAAGTTTGAGTTAAGTTAGCTATGTTTAGGTTACTATTGTTTCTGTTTTGTTTTTAAACACGATTTAGGTATTTTGTTTTGTTTGTTTCGAATGGATATAGACGGTACTTTTCAAATTCTATAACCTATAAAATAAGGTTGTGAAAACAATAGCTAAGTAAAATTAATTATTATTTTGTTTCGTAGGTACCTAACAAAATAATAATTTTAATATTATTCAAAGATGTAATAGAGAACTATTCTCAATGTTTATTTCGATTACCGAAATCTTAACTGCACACATGGCCGTATCTATTTACACAAATCTTTGCAGAAATTTTGTACCTAATTACCAACCCAACATTACTACGTATTTCATTATTTGAGGTGTGAAACAAACTTTTTTAACGTCACTTCATAAACGTGGGTAAAACGTTTTAAAATAAAAACAGCTAGATTGTTGGATTCTTAAAAACAATGGATTATGATATTTTGTATTAGGTAGGTATACAAATATCTGAGCTACGTAGTACAGTATCTATTACTAAACTTAGTTATGTAATTATTATTTATTTAATGTAGCGCTACGGATAATCTTCATATTCACGTGCCTATAGATCTATGATTTTCACGTGTTTTTACTATGTGACGGATTATTTACCTACAAAAATAGGTAGGTATAGATAATAATAGTTTTTTCTGAACAATATGTAAAAATTGTAAATAATAAACTTAAATATTTTAATATTGTTTTTACTAAGTACATTCTATACTTATTGTTTTTTTTTCTATATTTAGCGTACCTACCTACAGCAACTAATTATGTAAAAATTGGCGCCATTTTTATTCTTATTTTGAAAGAGTCATCGATTGATCTTATTAGAATTCGTTCCACAAGAAAATTAACAACGGACTAATTAACAAGAAAATTGCACGATTTCCAAATCAACCAGAAAGACAAAGAAACCATGAAATTAATAAAATATTGCCAATCGAACTGGGACTAATATACCTACCTACAGTAGCATTTCATAACTTCATTTAAAAAAAATGAGACGGTGGCATTGGACGCCATTCATTGCCATCAGGCGTTGTGTCAGCCGGCGAGATACCCTTGCAAAACAGTTATTGTACCGCTAAGTAAAGTTTTGCAACGATTCTCTCGTCTTTAGCATTCCGGTCAATGTGACCATATTTATTTTCTTAACTGCAACTACTTTATGGATTAAACCGTGTTTTAATCCAGTTCAGGGTCAAGCTACCTGTGCACAAAATGTCAGCTAAATAAGGTTAGAAATACAGCGAACTTTATGCATTTGGAGTCAATCTTATCAAGTTCAGGTCCATCCAATAGACAGTCCCTTGAAAATTAAAAAGTTGACAAATGCGGCCAATTAGAGTTTTCTCGTATAGAAGAAGCTCCCATATCAGCTAGACCGGAGTGATACCACATCCTAAACAATTCTTGCGTTGTGTTTCACGGTGTTAGTGAGATTACCGGAGTCCCAATCCTACCCCTTTCCCCATCCCCAATCCGGAAGGCCCTGGTCTTCAAATCCTTAACCTTCAAAACTGACAACGCACTCATCAATTTTCCAGGCAGCTGCTTTACCGCCCTTTCCTATAATAGGTACTTGCAACTCTCGCGCGGTTTCACTGGTTTTCCGCTACTCGGCTCCATTTGATCGTAGCGTGATGTCTTATAGCCTATAGCATATATCAGGAACATTGTAGCTATCTATCAGTGAAAGAATTTTGGCAGTCTGACCAGCGGTTTCAAAGATTACCCCCTACGTACAAACTTACAAATACCTCTTTATAATATTAGTATAGAAGTATAGATAAAAATATCGCAATCCTCGTTTCTAAGTCATAATTATTGTCTCCTCATCTATCAAAGATAATTCTGACCGAAAGAACTTTTAAAAGAATTCTTATAAAAACAAAAGCTTGTGACTCTTTTCTTAGTTCAAATAGACACTCCATTTAGAACTATAGTATAGTATTCGTGACTGACGATTCTTTTTTGTTATTTGAGAGATATCTTCTTTATTTAATGACGCAACCGATCTTATTGGAGCATAGCGCTGACTTACCTATACAATAAACGAATAATGTCCAATACAATAAACGAACCACAAAACTACCATGACAATAATAAAACTAATCTCGTGAATACTAGGAAATCCGTTAAAGTTTTTTTCTAACGGAAAATAGGCAATTTGGTTTAGGTATATTGAGTCACTGATTGAATTAAAATTCTGTAAAGCATTCAATGTTGTACGTAAATAGATTTGAAAACATCATTTCAATCATTATGAACATAAGTTTCCCCCAATGACCATCCAAGTAAGACTTACATAAATCGAAAATTCTAATATACATAGGTACTTCGATCAGAAAATCAAATAGAGGGACATTCTAGTTACCAAAATAGTGTGAATTATTATAAACGTTGAGTTAACTATCAAATACAAATCCAGACCTAGAACCAATAGACCACCACAGACGAGGGCCCAATTGGGCTGATGTTTAGCGGGGTTGTGGAGCAAACGCAACATGGCAATATAATTATAGGTACCACTTATATTCTCTATGGGCCAAAGGGGCCAACGCAATAAGGTACCGTGGCCTCAGTCTGGAGCAGGAGAAGGAACAGGGTGGTTTATAGTCAATAAGAGTCTGATACTTCCTCTCGCCTCACCACAAACCAGAGAAGACTTTGCTGATTATGCCACTTATTAGGCAAATAAATAAATAATATTGATTCAATTGTATTATGCTAGACACCAATATAAGAGGCTTGTTCTGCAGCAACCCTGTATAAGAAAATTATGATGATGGCTAAGTTATAATCCAAAATTGTAATAAAAACCTTCAGCTACACCATCTACCGAGCTTCAAAGCAAACACTGTCGATTTCTATAACAAAAAAAGGTCATTAACAAACTCAACACATGTCACGTTCTTTCCGGATTACTTCTAAGAACTCAAGATTCTAAAAATCTTTAAATATAAAAACCTTTTTTGTCTATAACCTTGTTAACACTTGAAATTCGAACATTCGAAGTGCCTTCAAGTAGTTTGTTTTTAGTTGAAGATAGAAAAAAGTAAGCAGTCTCTTGAACTCGAAAAAAAAACTATAAAAGGTTACGCTTCCCTGACTTTGTTCTTGAAAATGGTTATTTCTGTTGTTATACGTAATATTTAAGTATAATAATTATTATTTATGCTTATCCTAGATGGTATAATAAAAGCTGTCGCGTAATTCTACTCACGAACATAAGCTTCTAGCAATTCCAATATGGGAGAGCCACAAATGGTCGACCGGAGTGATACCACGGCCTCACAGAAAACCGGCGTGAAACAATCACAGCGTTGTGTTTCGCCGTTTGAGTGAGGTTTTGACCCTTCCCATCCCCAAATCCCAAATCCCCAAAAGGTCGGCAACGTACTCGTAACTCCTCTGTTGTTGCGGGTGTCCATGGGCAGCGTTGATTGCTTACCATCATGTAATCCGTTTGTTCGTTTGCCGGCTCATCACATAAAAAAACCCTGGCGTGGATTGAAACTAGTCGAGGCCCACATTATTTATATATAGATAATATTAGGTATAAAGCCTAGATTCGCTGATTTTTCTCTCAACCCTACGGCTGACTGGGAGAGAGTCCCATATAATATTAAGTCAGCCCTATGGACCTTTACTTATCGTGTATTAAAGTATAAATAAAATGAAATAAATAACTGGTTTTCAAATTTGAAACTGCATTAACACAAACTACATTAGGTACCTATTTTATCAAACGTTGAAACAAGTTTATTTACATTGAGCTCAGTAATACGTATTACTTAATTTTGGCAATTGTAAAATATTACCTCACAACAGAACATGTTCGACAACTGAATGGTTGACAAATACATATATTGTAGACTTGAACTCTATACGTATTAAGTAATTTTGGACTGCGTTTGGTACAGTAACTAGGTAATTTGTTACTTAATTTTGCGACTTAAAAACATTTGAACAGAGACTTTAAGAATAGCCTAAAATAGTTATGATCAAAAAATACTCTAGAGGACTCATTTAGCCACCACAGACGGGGCCCTATAGGGCTGATGTTCAGCCGAGGTTGCGGGGCTAGCGTCAGCCTAGAGCAGGAGAAGGAAAGGGGGGGTTTTTAGTAAATAAAAGTCTGACACTCCCTCTCGCGACCCTGGGCGAGAGAAGTCATTTGAAGATTTTTTTTAACCGATCGCTCTATTTCCTCGTCAGACCGATGACTTTTAGTTTTAAATAGGATAAAACCACTTTGTTCTACCTTGACAATCGAATTCAACTAAGACAAATAAGCAGACCAGATACTATTTATACCTACTTAAAATGCAGTATACCAACCCGACGATCCTCATTATCATTATAAGAATCGCAAGCAGGATCGATAAATAGTTGGTAAAACTTTGAATTAATATAAAAAAATATAAAGCATTTGACATTTAAAAAGTAACATTAATTTAAATATTCCTTCTTTTTTTATAATTTGAAATTCGAACTCGTCACAATGTCCAGTACAGTATATGTAAGAAATTTAGATTTGTTTTTCATTATACCTAAGTATACTAGATATCCTTCAGATATAGTTGTTTACGCTTTGTAAACCTGTCGATTAGTCGAATTAGTCATAGCGTGCCAGCCAACCAATAGCCAAGTCTACTATTACTGATGATCGTCATTGCTTTAGAAACGAAACCTGGTGATTTCTGAAGGTCATTAGTAAGTCATGTGGTCATCGAATTTATTCTCATGTATTTCGTTAGTTTCTAAAGCGATAATGATTATTTATCGACACTGAACTTATGGAATAGGAACAGTATGAACATTTTTTTTTCTTCATCAAAACTGTTAAACGGTTACTGCCTAGACATTTAAAGTTACCTACCTATTTTTTAAACATTAAAAAGCTAAATTTTAAATCCTACGTTTAATTATGCTGTGAATAGTTTTACATACTACCGTGCCGTGGGATAAAAATGTTGCCCCCAAAAAAATAACTTACTTAAATTTTATTTTACATATACCTACATATAATATATAAATTGTTTTTAGTTGCATACTTATCATTTAGTAAATTTGTCATCAATTATGACATGACTTAATTACATTAATTTACGACGACCACATCAGTGTGCAAATCTGATAGCCTAACTTTATAAACAAGTTCATAAAATGCATCTTAAACTAAAATGATTAAGGCTTAAAATAACTAAGCGAATGCACTTGAGTGGACTAGTTTTGAAGATAATTGTACTCATCTTAGCTCTTTAGGTCAGGAGATGACGTTGTGGTTGATAATAATAGTAAATTGCTGATATTTCTAAACTTAAGAGATTTCGTAGGTAATTTTAGTGGTCTGGTACAAATTAACATAGACAAAAATGTAAAAACTGACATTTAAAATGAACAACAAACCTCTGAAGAAGATTCTGTAGATAGAACAAATCGTAAAGAACACACCAAAAATATGTGACAGATAGAAATAACGCATCAGTAAGGAATAACTTCTATTGTTGATATAAATAGAGTCACAAAGAGAAAGAAACAAGAAGCAGAGAGACAGAGAGAGAGATAGAGAGAGAGAGAGAGTTGGAGAAAGATAACAGAAACGAAAAAAGGCAGAAAAAACGCTGAGTTTTTATCAACAGGTGATGATTCCTGTGACGTGATTAGAGTATTAAAACCGTCATGAACATTCAACAGGATAAAACGGACAGATAATTTATCTCACGAGATTTTCCTTAAAGTCATTGGGCCATCCTTTGTGTAATGACGTATTTACAATCAAAATCCTACGCAAAACAAAATGCACGCATATTTAACAATACAACAACTCGAACAAATTGCAGTAGTGGGAATCCCGGTAGAAAATAATGATCTTCTAAACAAACAACAATATGTGTTTTGTGGGAAACCCAAACAGATTTGGAAAGGGCTAATTAATTACATCGATACATTCAGAAAATACTGTATTTGAAAATGTCGTGACTGTACCATATTTATGAAGTTATAATAAAGCGCATTCGAAAATATTTTTCATTGTGTTACGATTATGGCAGAGGATAACACCATTTTGACACAATTCTATTTGGTTATTTGGAGCTCATTTGCTTCTTTTCTTTTCAAACATAACTATAATAAGAATAGAATTCGAAGAGTAAATAAATACACAAAAGGGTTCATCCTTTTAGTTTGGAAAATTCTTCACCTATCTTTTCCCCTCTTGTGCGTCTGTTTGCCCTTCGAATTGTATTCACCGCGTTTCGTTTTAAGAAACCGAATCTACCTCTCTATCTAGTGGTACCTTCTTAGCATTAGATAAATCATTTACCTTCTTATTACCGTTTTGATCACTGAATCCATTCTTTTTTGGCACAATAGTGTCCTTACATTTCTTGTTCTTTTCCATAGCCACCATAAAATCTACTTCTAATAAGATTTGAGAGGAATAAAACCGAAAGGTGTCGTGTCCCCGACCCACGACATTACTTAGCACACCGTCAACCGTCACGATCAAAATAATCGTGAAATACCTACAAAATAAGCCAATAATTCAATAGCTTGGGAAACATCCATTTATTCACGCTACGGTTCTTAAAACTCTTTGTTTTTGAAGTTATTGATTTTTGTATTGTGAAAGAGCCATTATATTATGTTTTCTGTAGTTTTCTCTTCCATTTGTTCCTAAATTAATACTGAGTAAAGCCTTTACGATTTCCAAATTGTTGGAAGCACGGATACTAGTTACGTGTACAACTATCTAATATTTTTTTTTCACCTGCTGCCGTTATCGTCTGCAGAGAACATATAAAAAAATAAGGGTTCATCTGCAACATATTTAATACATTATGTTACCATTCTTGCTTGTTTCAACCATCTGAATTGGCAAATGGCTTTACTGAAGGACAAAATTGTTTACTAATTGGCACAGTTTTTCTTTCTGTTCTATATGTTTAAAAAGTATTTTTTTCTTTAGCTTCCTTTGGCACGGAGAAGGCTTGTGAAAAATTAAGGGTAAAATTATTTTGTAATATTCTCAGCAATAATAGCAAACGCAATAATGCTCCGCAACCTCGCCCCAAAGCAGAAGGAACGGGTTAGATTTAAGTCCATAAGAGGTCTTACCAATAAAAGACTCCCTAAAACCCAGGGTGCAAAAGTCATTTGATGATATTGCCCCCCGTCAAAAAACTACATAAAGACACAGGTAAAAAGTAAGTCCTGCGTCAATTAGTGTTAGGTACTGAGTGCAGTTTGTGTAGGCTTAAACAGATTCAAATAAAGATCAAGTAAGCACGTGTTATCTGTCGTACAACTGGAACAAGTATCGCAATCACTGTTGGACAATACTCCGGTTGTGGCTGGCTTGATATTGAAACACTTTTATGTAGGTTAGGCGAAACAAACCTCTTACTGAGGTTAGCAGTAGGGGTAATGCTACGTTTACTTTTCACACTTACTTTAGATAGGCATGTTGTATGAATGCCTACTGTACTATCATTATTGATGTACGTATAATATAGTTTTACTGTTTCATTTGATAATAGATCATGATTGTTTCGAATTTCATGTGTAACATCTACCTGAACAAAAATATATATATGTTTTGAATCTTCTTTTTCGGAATCTCAAGTACCTAGTTAACGCGAAATATGGTATTATGACTGTTGTTAGCGTTTGTTGACTTTAACGTGAATTTTGTTTTTTAAGCTTTGCCCCACACTAGGATTTTTCCTGTGTCGTGATTGCGTTATTTAATACTGTTCAGTGTTCAATCCATTGAATTAACTAACTTCTTTTTCCTTCACCTTGTTGGAAATCAGTTGAATAATTTACTCCTAAGTATACACTGAAGCTGAAGCATTATTGCAAACATACACAAACAGTGTGAAGTCTTTAATTTGTACAAGAGTGGTAGGTACTTGAAATAAGATATTAAGTAGTGGTCGCTACCGTAACCGCAACACGTGACTTCTAATTTCAATTAGCTAACCTATTATGGAAATTCGAATTGAATAGTCATCTTGTTATTATTCTAGAAATTAACCAGGTGTATCTGGCTTTGAGGTGACCCTGTGTACATAAACATATGTACCATATCTATACCAAAGAGGACGCCTGAATCCAAAATTCCACAGTATTTTCTTACTTATTCTCGAAAAACCCGCAGCAGATAAAAATACCCGTATCATATTCCAAACAACCGCTTTCGCTACGAGATTAAATCTAAAAAAGACATCACACGTACACTAAATGCGTATTTTCGACCATAAAAGTGGAAACAATGTGGGTCAAAGGACCAAAAACAACAAGTTAAGTTTGGAATCCGAAAACAAAACAAAATTCATCTCTATCGAAATTACAACGACTACGTAGACTAAACTTTTCATTTGGTTGATTGTTTACCTATTCCAAACTAATCTTATAAATGCCAAAGTTACTCTGTCTGTCTGTCTTTTCTTCACGTCTAAACTACTGAACCTATTTGAGTAAAATTTGGTACAGACACAGTTTGGAACGCGAGAAAGGACATGAGATGGTTTTTAAACCAAAATTTTGCAGGAACTCACTGTTCCTCGCAAACAAAGTCGCGAGCAAAAGCTAGTAATTAACGAGTTTGTACTAATATTTTGCTTTAGTTATCAATCCCAACCTTGGTCCTATAGTTTTGTCTCTACTTCATAAACTCACAAATTAAACTAAGCTTTTGGTTCTCCTTATAAATGAACCAACACTCAACTTTCATTCCTACCATATTCCATTCGTTAAAAAGACCATTCGTTTTTTAGTTTAGTCGGACAATGGATACCATGTGGCTTTGTCCTCTCAGACAAGCGGAAGGACCAATTTAGGAGAGGAGGACCATTTTAGGTCAATTGGACTGTCGTTGCTCCATAATTGAAATTTATATTTAAATCAGTGATGATTGATTACTGGCCGGTGACAGCCCTATTATTAACCGATAACGATTTAAAGAGAGGTTATGACTTTATGATGCAAGTTGTTCCGAATATATTGATTGTTTTGTTTTAGAAAAGTTTCTGTTTTAATTATCCCAGCTGCTTATTTTTATTGGTTTCTTAGAATATTCGTTTACAAATTAGTACTTTCATTTGATGATCAAAATTAATTTATCAAATATATATGAAGTAGGTACCTACCTATGTACCTACCTACTTAATAGAAATCGTTACCCCAATTTTTCGCCAATTAAACTAAGGGCAGATTATTGTAACTATTAACATGTTATTTCGATTATTGTTTATTCAACTATTTATTCATTTACCGATACAGAAAACTGGCGTGAAACAACCACAGCGTTATGTTTCGCCGTGTGAGTGAGGTTACCGGAGGCCCAATCCTTCTCCTCCCCCATCTCTCCTCAATCCCTAAATCTCCAAATCCCAAATCCCTAAATGGTCGGCAACGCACTCATAATTCCTTCGTTGCGGGTGTCCATGGGCGGCGCTGATTGCTTACCATCAGGTAATCCGACTGCTCGTTTATTACCTATTACATAAAAAATAGTTAAATTTCCATCTCCTGCCATAACGCCAAACCCGTAAATAATTGAAAACCTACGGCTCGTAACCTCTAAAAGATGCAGGTCCAAACAAATTTTAGAGTATATGTAGTATAACTCCTTGTCAAAAAACATCATGACTTATATATTTATATGTCCATAGCGTCGTGTGTCGCGCAGTGCTACTTACGAACATGAGCCACTGTTATGGCCGGAAACTACTCGACTATCTCGCTAAAGAGTTCGTAGTAAGACGTTAAACATAATTAATGAATTCAATATTTCACGTATGAGAGAGCCTTGCTTCGACACGATGGGTGGGCTCGACCGGAGTGATACCACAGCTTCACAGAAAACCGAGGGAAAGTGAGGTTACCGGAGGCCCAATCCTTTCCCTCCCAATCTCAAAATCTCCAAATCTCCAATCTCCAATAGGTCGGCAATGCATTTGTTACTTCTTTATTGTTGCGGATATGATACCATCAGGTAATTCTTAATAATTCTATAATAGAAAAAAAACATCAATTGAAATTATTTTTTTGTAATACAACATACCGTGACTAGCAATTTCTAAACTTAGGTACATAAGTATGTACCTGCGCACTTACTAGAATATAACAATGTGTAGAAGATACACAAACAGCGTTTAGTATCAATGTTATAACTTAGAGGTCATCATGTTTTGCAACACATTCGCGGTGTATCAACAAAAACACGTTTTAACATCACGTAGGAACGGCAAACTGTTGGACATAATTTCTTGGTCCTTATAGCCGCAAATTATTTTCCCAGTACACTATGCATTATAATTTAAAAAGCGACATTAAATATAGTTGTTCAAATAATTAAGTTTTTACCCAAAAATAACAAAAAAATCATAAGGACCAAATATTTAGCAAATGTGGTCCTATTAACATAATATTTTTTGACAATAATACCGAATCATCTTCGAATAACAATACAAATTTCATACCTGTAATACAAATAAATAACACAAAATATAACTCTAAGATTAACTTAATGGTATTTTAAATTGCCATGACACATGTCATAGAGCTAAAGGACAACGGTTTAGCAACCGCCAAGATTACAAATTCGATTTCCAGTTGCGTAAAGGTTGCTGTTTCTAGGTTCCCTGAATATTAAAAAACCTAAAAGGCTTTACAACAGACAGGTACTTATGTGGGTGCGCTACCAAGAATACTAATCGAGGATTTAAATAAAAAGAGATTCGATCTTTGAAATCTTTCAACCGCTTTTTGTTTTTGTGACGAAAAAATTATATTCGAATTACGAACTTGACAGGCGTTTTGATTTTTTTCTTCTTAAAGAAGGTGAATTATTTATTGAGAATTTGTTTTTGCTTTTTTGAATTTGTGTGATTTAGAATTGTTTAAATTTAAAATTTAATCCTTTAGTTTATCCGTGAGGTTTCTTTCTACTGTTTTTACTTTTTCAAATTTATGCCTAAACGAAATGGAGGTACAGGACCTATAGACGTACCATCAGTATTTACATTTTTAAGTTTATATTTTTCTGTAAAAAAAACACATAAACCTTTTAATGAAATGACGTTTTTAATTATATTCATTATAAATTATATAATAAAAAGGTAACTAAACTAGTTTGTAGGAAACGTATTCGGCATACATAAGTACCTTGGACGTTGATTTGTCATAGTAAAAGTTGTTCTCATATTCGTTATAAAAATAGCAGTTCAATGTCCTACTAAGTGTTTGTTTTATTGTGTTGTTTATACGTTTATTAATATAAATTATAAATACAAGAGAACATTAAAAGAAATATGGTCCTTTAAATCCATTTTAAAATCGTTCAATACTTAAAAACACGGTAAATTGCAATTACACTGCGCAATGCACTATTGACTATAAAAACAAAACGAATAATCAAGACTTGTCATAAATATTAGGAATATTATTATTGCTAAGTCATACTTAAAAAACGCATTAGTTGATGACGCAAGTTTCGAAAAGACGGTTTTCCCACAGA